ATGACTCACACTAAATTCAGCATGACCACATAACTAAAGCCATCAGTACAAGAGTCGTGTCACACTCACCAATCTGCTGCTCTGCTTCCTGTTTTCTATAGAAATACTGTTTTTATTTAGCCTGGAAATCCAGACTCAAACCTAGAAAGATTTTGAGTCTGGCCCTCACCGATATACCCTTCCTACCCAAGGGGCGGCAGTAATGGAGCATATTAGATGCTGCCGCATGCAATTGGATAGCACGATAGCCAGTCAGAGCAAAAAAGAAAGGTGACGTATTCATTGCACTAAGCCCCATTTGTTTGCCGACCAGTGGGGCTAACTGATATATTATGCCTTTGCTGTATCCCGTCGGCAAAACGGCAAAAACGTCCTTCATGGAAGCGAAGGCTTCTAGGGCAGTCTTCTGTTCTTCTCTCAAGGAAAAAGATAAGTGTAGTTGGCTTAGCGTTTCTTCCAAAGCTAAACTGAATGGACGCGGTCCTTCGGCAGCTGCCATCTTGGCTGTATATTTTTCGACTCCTATGGCACAGTGCTGTCCTCATCATGTTACGCCTGCCCAGAGCCCGCCTCTGTCAGATAGACTGATCTGATTGGTCCGATGGCGATTCAACGGGCTCTGCTCGTTCCGGCCAGATCCCCGTGCAGAGAAAATTCGAATTTGCTAGGGGCGGGGCATCTGGATTTCCAGGTTAGTTTTTATTCACTTTTCATTAGTTTGAGTCACTACGAATTCTACTCACTTTTTTCTTTGCTGTTTTTTGACCACTGATAAGCTGTCAATGAAACTCATCACCTCTTGCAGCTGTTCCACAACAAAAGCCTACCAGCAAATTAAGAGATTCTAAATTTGCGACAGGTTTTGACAGTGGGTGCCTATGGGCCAAGATATATCATATCATTGCTCATTTATTGTGCATTTTTACTAACATTTAACCACATTAAAAAATATTGACGAGACAAGCATTCACTAAATTTTACATTTTCAAATAAATCAGAACTAAAGGAAAAAGCAATACGAATCAAAATCATATTAAAAACAATTTAATATGTATATATGCTGCAGGTCTTGTTATGACATGACGCCTCACAGTTTATGGTTGTCATAGTCACACAAATCACTTTCTGCATGGCAGTTTTTAAGGAGCAAGCGATGGAATGATTTGACACGGTAAACAGAGCTCAAAAACATGCTAATACATCTCAGCCCTCAACACAGTTTGAGACGACTGAATCTAACTGACTGCTTTTGGCTCCTTGTTGAAGACATACATCCATCATTGTCCCATAGCACATCTATTCATTGTGGTATTGCACATTCACAACATTATATTTATGTTTTGTGGCTCTCTCATCCTGGAAACATATGAAAATAAGACATGAAATCTTCTGCAACCTGCAGGTTGTTCTCTCTCTCTCTCTCTCTCTCTCTCTCTCTACACACCAACAGCAGGCTCACATGAGCCAATTTAAATTTTGAAGAAAATTCAAGAACTACACTTAATACTTAATACTTGTGTGTGATCATAGGGCTTTTTTTTTACTACCTTGATGTTTTTATTTTATCCTGAAAAGAAACAGGCATTGATCCCTTTCTCTGACCACACAGCTCCCATATAGGAGCACATGGCTAATTATTATGCAGAATGATGTAACTGGAGCCAATCAGAGGCAGCAGAGGACCTCATTCTGCTGCATGTTTGTTTTTGGGATAATATAACAGATAGTAAAAAAAAGACCCTCTGATCTCACACACAAACATCAGGCTGTTTAAATTCAATTTTTAAAAAGTTTTTGGGCTTCATAATTATGAGCGTGGGATCAACAGGCCTTTCCTGTACTGCAACTGGTATGGGCCAAGCTCTGCAAGTAACTCAGCTGACCTTACATATTTTACAAAATGAGGAAGGAGCGAACCAGTCGAAGCAAACCTGACTGCTGTAGAAGCAGTAAGAGTCGAGCTGTTAGTCCCTGTGGACAGAGCGGCTGCCTGTGACGATGGAGAGATTGTGTTTGTGTGACCAGAGTTGCAGCAGTGAACTCTTTGTGTGTGTGACTGGATTGTTGCAGAACAATGTGGACACAGCTAGCTAATGAGGATTTTCCTGTATCACCAATATGAATATTGACTCATTTTACTATGGAAATACTCAGTTCTGGACACTCATTTTATCCGAGTATTCGGCTCAACCCTCTGCAATTATTTAGAGAACAAAACATTATTTTTTGATATAAGCCTTTAAATAATGGTCTTGTTCTCTCAGCAGCTAGGGTCCATAAAGCTTTCATGGCTTCATGGTTGAAAAGAGTGTTCGGCAGTTAAGAATTTTACCTAACACTGCAAGCAGCAATCAAGTACGAATGACTGTGGATATTACCTGAACCGTCACTTTGAAGCGATATTAATACTTTTTCATTGTTAGGGCAGACTGTTAGAATGTCATCTATCCCGTTTCTCAATATTCACTCTGTCATTTCTTCCCTCCAAATCACCTCTGTCTCTATGTTTCACTCTTTGTCTCGCTCTAGGTCTATATGTGCCAAGCCAAACTTCTTTTCCCTTTGACTGAAGCAATGAACGTTCTGCTTTTCATCGCTGTAACACAAGTGTACGTACCCATCTAAATGCAAATGTCCAAACCTGCATTGCAGGCTGCTGAATGTTTCCCTCTTACTTTCTCCCTCGTTCCCTCGCTCAATGCTCACGCTCCAACATGCACACACTATTTTCTTGTCTTAAACAAATAGGGCACTTAAGAGCAGGCAGCAAATAAGTAGTGCTTTGAATCAGGCCACAGCAGCAGTAAAACTTAACTGTTCAATATGTATTCTTTACTCCGTTTTCTATCCTGGCGTGCTCGCCACTCTCTCTCTCTCTCTCTCTCTCTCTCTCTCTCTCTCTCTCTCTCTCTCTCTCTCGGCAGACTCCAAACTGCTCTCTATCGTACATGTTGATGTGTGTGCGTGGGCCGGGAGGGAGAGGAAAGCTGTGAGCGACACTTTTAATTTTCCACATGCTGCATCAGTGTCGTAGCAGTGATAGCGTGGGGTTAGCGTTTTCCCAGACAAGAGCTGCGGAGCTGTCCAACACACTCAGCACCTTTCACTGGGGAGCAGTACACTGACTTTGTCAAGATAAAAAACACTGTGGCCAGCCGTGGAACTTTCAGAGGGGACATGGTGTCTCTAAAACATCCACTCAGAGTACCAGGAACTACCATAATGTGCTACAGACTAAATGTGGGTTTGCCAGTATGCACTGAATAATTACAAATTGGATCTGGATCTGGATGCAGTTTGACAGCTTGTCTGTGGGGGAACTAAACAGATATGAGATCATTTGAAAATATAATGTTTATTAAACCTAAAATAACAAAAAAAGTGAACTGAACACTGGCCATTTTTTTGCCATGAAAATGTTCAAAACAAGCCTGAAGCTCAGCAGGTGGCTCTTAGATATAATTATATAATATGGTAACATAATATAAAAAGTTAAATTGAATTTTATCAATCCAAGTTTAACACACATTTCCAGAAAATCAACAAAAACATAAATGCGGATTATGTGAAAATTAGGCCGATCAGAGATGAACAGTTTGTGGTGCTAATTCTCAGGTCAGGTGCCATCATCATTTGTAAACAGGGCAATAAGATGATCTAGTTAAAAGCAGCCCACTTGTCACAAGAAAATGCTGGCATTGTACGTTTCTGCAAACCATAGATAAATACATTTGTACGTTGGTGTGAGACCTAGACCTGCAGGTCACTGTTTGATAGTAACATGCAACAACACCAGTTGTGTTTTAGAGTCATTGCTGTGTTTCCAGCAGCTTTTCAGTCACCTAACGTGGTTGTTTTTTAGCAACCCAGTGTAGTGTTTCTAGTGGGGATAGTACCATGAAAAGTGGTTGTTTTTTTAAAAGAGACAACCTTGCATTTCCTGTCAGGATTGTGCCACCAAAAGCAGGTATTTTAAGCCAAAACATGATCTTTCCCTAACCATAACCAAGTGGTTTTTTTTTTGTTTTGTTTTTTGGGCTAAACCTGTCCATGTGTACTTCACATGACACATAAAGAAAGTTTAACATATCCGCTAAAGTACAAATGCCAGTCTTTTTTTCTGCTGATTGTATTGTTGACCTCCAGTCAAACTTCAAAGGGTGGAAACAAAGTAGAAAGAGTGATGAACATATATATCTCAGTTTGTTTCATGCATTTATGGGAGAGAAGTCACAATCTCCGAATCACTTCACATGGCGGAAGCTTCAGTGGATGTTTATTTGCTTGGCTCGTTTCTAAGTCATATTTCCACTGAGGACAGATACTAAAAATGCACATAAAAACAGGCACACAGAACTGCACATATGGTGACATTGTTCGTCATTCTTAGACTCTTACGAGTAAAAGGGATCAAATGAGTTTTAGTCCTAAAAATTGTGCTGGAAAGTTCGTCTGGAAGTCAAGAGGTTCGTCTTCTGGGGGGCATGAATGTTTTCAGCAGATTTAATGGCAATCTGCAAATTACACTTTATTATTTTCTGTGTACAAGTGGAACCTTTGGTTAGATGTTGGCACAAAAAGAATATTAATAGGGTCACAAAAACCATGTGGTTATTCCTCTGGGGAAGTTGAATGCACATTTCATAAAAATCTGGCAATAAGTTTACAGTATTTTTGGACTTAAGTGTTGATCAGATGAATGGACAGGTAGTATAGCTGAGTATTAGATATTGGCAGCTTTAGAGGGGTACTACAACATACTTATTCACAAAATAGCTATATCTAGCTATATCCTGAATCTGAATTCCTAGTATGGGGCAAACGTGCTGGATCTTACATTTCCCGTAGTACAATCAATAGTATTACAAAAAAACAAACAAAAACCCCAAAACAAACAAAAAAAAAAGCTTGTAAAGAGCCATATCATTGCGGGTCCACACATTCGCAGATTAAGGTGAAAGCATGGTCAGATGACAAATCAGCAATATAGTGGCTCTTACCTGTCACTCTCGTCCCAGGATATACAGGTCTGATTAGTGGTGCCCTGATGGATTGGGAACAGACAAACAATACATGATCACAATGTTCAAAGAGGACTTGTAATGCAGCATAAAATCAAAATAGCTTAATATTTGAATATTTGTTTTAAAATAAGAGTCACCTACGTTGTACAGGTGAGAGAATTCAACTACAACTGGGGCAGAAAGGGAGGGAGGGGTGGGCTTGATGGCCACTGACAAAACCTTGGAGTTGAGGACTGTGCTGTTTCTAGAGGAAGAAAGAAAAACACCAGTTAGTAACCTGTATATAGCCACAGTAGTGCTAAATGCTAGCATTAGCTCACAATGACAATGCTAACTTGCTAAAGTTTAGTGTGTTTACCATGTTCACCCGGTGGGAATTAAAACAATCAGAATTCATCCCAGGGGGACCATGACTGAACCAAGTTTTATGGCAATCCAACCAATGATTGTCAGCCAAAAATGCCAACCTGCCAGATCCCTAGGATAGATAATATGGGAGCCATAAATGTCTGTACAAATTGTTGTGGTAATCCTTTTGGTAGACTGATGAGATATTTCACCTGACAAGTGAAAACTTTGACCTGCTGCTGGCACGAGATGAAACTCCCACCAAAAACATATGGACTCATCCTCTGGGTACCATGAGTATCTGTAACAAATTTCAAAGCAATCTAGCCAACAGTTGATGAGACATTTCAGGCAAAACCATCTTATAATGGCACTACAGGACAAGTCGAGGGAGCACCAAAGTCATCAGGATTCATCCACTTGGAACCATGAATGTCCAACCCATTCTCTCTCACATCAAAGTCTGGTCATGGACTTTCCACGTCGAGATATGATGTGCAAGGTACCCCCGGTGCTTTAGTTGTTGATGCTTTGCAATGCCGTGTCAACTTCAGCCTGTTACATGCATTGCCTGTTTTTAAAATACACTTCTGTTTCCACAGGAAATGTACAGTTTGTATATAGTTTCTTTCAAAATAAACACACTATGTCGGTACAACACCGCAAATTGACGTGTTTTTCCTTCAACAATGAACGCATATGGTTACTTCTTGCCAACACTCGCATGTGGTTGGATTTAGGAACAAACAACAGGGTTTGGTTTTAAAATCTTGTGGGAGGCACACAGTTGGTGGTTGTATGACCCATCCACCATCATTCCCACCTGCCCCACTTGGACTTCTGTGGCCTTAACTATCGTTGTCTGGCCATGTTTCCCCCTGACTGGCTGGGAATCATGCTGACGGGTTTTTTTGTCGGTGTCTCAAGCCAGATGTCACTGACCAAGCAGCGGCTTTTTACAACTTTGGAGTGAAACTGGGTTGAAATGTTGGTCAAAGTTTTGCCTTAATAGTTACTGAGAAACTTTAATGTTGGACCAAAGTGGTGGAACGATCACCCACATATGACCATTCCTAGAGCCACAGGCTAGACATTTTGGAATAACAGAACTCTGATTGCAAACAATGCAACCCATACATGCTTCTATAAAAGGAAACATGCCCTACATTTGAGATTTGAAAAGAACAGATTGACTTTGCCTTTAGTTTGGGAAAGGTCATGCACTTGTCACCAAATACTAAAGCACTTCATTAGAAAGCATTTACACAGTGACAGCTGCCTCCAGTCTGCTTATGAAAAAGCATCAAAATAACCTCAGTTGCTTATTCAGCAATAAAATATGTATCAGATTACTAACTCATCAGCTTCTGATGAGCTTGCCAAAATCTTTGAGCTCTGCTCCAGAGCAAATAATCCTAGCTGCCAAGTAAACCCTAAAGACTTTAAGGATTTCTCCGGCATCTGAAGCAATCCACATTGTTTTTCAAAAGCTTATCTTATAACATTTTTGGGGCATTCTATTTTACATTCTCCTTACCTGTTTAGTATGCATTGCAATTTCTGCTTTTCATAGGTACTATCAATCATCTGGAATGAGACAATCAGGAAAAAGTGAATTGCTACTAGAAGTACTGACACCGAAAGCTTCCAGTCGGCCAAACATGTTCAACAGCCCATGCTGTGTATTCCAGTTCCTCACATCATCACTGTATCCTGTACGCACAATCGCCCTCTCTCCATTCCAAAACACAATCAGTCAACTTAAATGTTTGTGTCATATAGTCTCTTGCCTCAAACTCATCTCCTTTTTCCTTGAGGGGGGAATCAAAAGCAGAAAAGGAGAGAAGACAAGGATGAAAAGATAGAAAAAAAAGAGTGAATTGGAGCTGAGAAATATGGAGAGCAGCAGCGATCCAAAGATTCAGAACAAACATGTGGGCGGACTGAAGAGAGTGAGGGTCCGCTTCATTCCCCCGCTTCCCTATGTTACCAGTTCATTATGTGCTTTTACCACATTATCATAATGGGCAGCTCCTTACAACCATCACCACAGTCATAGATAACAGCAGAAGCGTGCATGCATACCAGTATGCACACACACATACAATTACTCAGGGCCACATGTACTACTGCTGTGTTCAAATGTATGTTAATCATCATGCGAGCAGCAACTTCCTCCGAGAAATCCTTTTACTCACGGAGATAAAAGACATACATGAGGCCACCCACTGCTAGTGTGCTGCTGTTTCAGCATCAAATCCTTGTTTTCATTTAACTGGGAACATTCACTGCAGCGCAGATGTAAAATGCCCTGACTTTGCTGTGACAATCCATAACACTCAGCACAGTTTTATAGTAGAACCAGGAATATGCTTCAACAGTTACACAGCATCAGTGACTTTATTTCACTGTCTAGCTAGATTAATAAAGGGCATTATACACAATCCAGTATTTTATAATAACTGTTAACAACTGGTATGATCTATGTAATTAAAACACTTTTGCCTTTCAGCCAATTGGATGGGGTTTTTTTTCATTAAAAGATCCCCACAGTTGATCTCATTGGATTAGTTGGAGTGATTTTAGGCTCATGTTTCAAGTACCATGCATGACTGGAGAAATTATTAGCTGACTTAAAGCTCAGAAGATAACTTTGAGTAATCTATAGTGGTAACTGATTTAACTGCAAGTCAAACTGTTTCTGCATTTATATCCAGCTAACATAATTGTTTTCATCATCATTTTCTGAGTCCTTCCAAGAAACACCACAGCTTCAGTCATTGTGGGAGGGGGAAAAAGGAGATCCATAGCTTTCTAATGATATTAGTATTGTTTTTGTGCTCCCAATATTTAGCAAATTACCTCACATTACATAATGACTGTCACAGAGCCATGTTTTTGAGAAAACGACCTTCAAAGTTTGTAGAACGATGGCTGCAAAGATATGTGACAGAACCCACTTGCATTTCAAAGAGGGAGCACATGCTGTACTCCAGGGGCTGTCCTGGGGTGAGAAATCCACAGACAAACCTTGGGGACACTTTTATTTTGTAGCCAGCAAGGTAATGAAAACAAGCATGCCCAACAACACGGTGCAGAAGATGAGAAAATTCTGTCTATGTTTGAAGAACTGTGGTCTATTTGATTAACAAAGTTAGCAAACAAGCAATGGAATTTACATGGCAATAATCATAACTTGGATTATTTTTTATAAAGACCCTTTTGATGCCTTTGATCTGTGGACCCTTCTGGACTAAAGGAATATAATTAATCAGGTAATGGAAACACGCTTGGACTTAATGACCAGTTGAAAGGTAGAAAATCACAACATTTTTTTCATATCTCTTGTTTACCCTGTCAGTAAAGTTATACTTTGGTGTTCATGGTTTCTGTAAATTTAACTGAGTGATTGAATTGTGGAGAATTTAACCAAAATAACGATGAGTAGCGTGTCCGTACTTACAAAAGTTGTGACATTTAATTACAATGCTTAGCTGCTTAGTTAGTTTAAGTGAGTCGCCAGTGGTGATCTGGTGGGTTTTAAAAGATTTAAATATTTTGAAAGCAATGATTTTATTTATTTTAAGTCAGACAAAAAACATTCTCCTGGACCCTGACTTGTTACTATAATGTAAAGCCTTTCATTCATAAATTCATGGACATGGGAGGATAGGACTGCCAAGTGAGTGTTAGCTGCTAGCTTGTCATCAAGCCTTTAAAAGCTTCAAACTTTATTTATGGTCTGAATTTGGTGTTAAGAGTTTCATATTTTGAGAGCCAAGACACTGTTTATTAAAATCTGGCTGGCTACCACTCTACTGAGTCACATCTGTATGCTGTTCTGGCTCCACAATATTGGAACAAACTCCCAGTTATCATCAGAACAGCAGAACCTCTACACATCTTCCGTCGCACATTGAAAACTCATCTGTTCAGACATGTGTGTGTAGAAATAAATAAATAAATACTCCATTTCTTATTGTTTCTTAATGAAGCACTTAAATCAGTTCAGCACATTTGGTAAAGTTAATGTACTTGCTTGATTCTTGCACTTTTGGTTTTGTACTCACATAGTTGAATGCACTTACTGTAAGTTGCTTTGGATGAAAGCATCAGCTAAATAAATGAAATGTAATGTAACGACAAATGTTTACTTTAACTGGCATGACTAAGGGCAGGGTGGATGGGTGGGTTGACAAATCATGCGACTTAAGCACTTCATGAGACAGAATTACATTTGCAAAAATGCATCCCCGTTCATACCAGTAAATGTTTGTTTCAACTATGACCACGATTTTCCCCCGACCTTAACATTTCTCAAACCCAATCCATGATCTTTCCCTAGTCTTAGTCTTAATCATAGTGTTGACAGGTGAGAAAACGCTAATGCCTGTAGTATCTATAACGGTGATTTGTAATGGTTTTAGAAGACCCTGACAAACGATGTTGTTCTGATCACTGAGGCATCAGATTAGAGAATGCAAACAAAGTATATTCTTGTTAAGTTTAGAGGACTGTCTTGTTTGTTTATCCATCTGTCTATCTGTGTCTCTATTTGTCTCTCGAGTCTGTCAGTACCTACTTGTTTTAAGTCGTGGCACATACATAATGACAAGCAGCACAGGGATAAATCTTGCTATATGTACGAAACTAGACTGATACTCTACAGACGTGCTGAGTGGTGCTGTGAGCTAAATGCTAGCATGCTCATAATGACAATGCTAACATGATGAAGTTTAGTAGGTATAATGTTTAGCATGTTCACATCAGTCTAACCTGTTACTGTTTTAATCAGCGCAGGGCAAAAGAGCAGCTGAGGAATGTTTTGGGGCATTTGGTCAGAAACCAAAGGGAATCACTAAAGTTATTAAAATTCATCCTGATGTAGATGCCCTATCAAATTACATGGGAATCCATCTAGTAGTTTTTGAAGCATTTGACTTAAATCCGTAAGTGTCAGCCTGCTTGTGGTGGTAGAGGAAAAGTCGAGTGCTCATCAAAGTCAGTAGGATTCACCCTCTGGGGACCATGAATGTCTGTACAAATTCCATGGAAATCCATCCAAAAGTTGTTGAGATATATCTCTTTCATGATCTGTTAAGTTACTGTGTCATTCTTCAACTGCATCCACTGAAAACTCTGGAAAAAGCTATTTTCGCTGTTTAGCAATCTAGAATGTTTTGGTGTGAGTGGCCAAGTGTTAGAGAAATCTGCCATCAAGATGTCTGCCTTCTCTCTACGATAATGGAACTAGATGTCACTTGGTTGTTGGTGTGTAAAGTGCATGTGCATGTCTGCATGTCTTTAGACTGTGGGCGGAAGCCGGCGTACCCGCAGAATACCCACACTGACGGGGAGAACATGAAAACTCCGCACAGAAGGGCTCCCTCCTGGGATCAAACCAGGAACTCTCTTGCTGTGGGGCATCTCTACGGCTAATCCCTCCAACACTCTGCAACTCACACCACAACAATCTAGACTGCTAAATGGCACTACAGATAAGAGGACAAATATGTATTTTTGATTTTAAAGTGGAATGAATCTATTGTACTTATAATGGTCGAGTAGCCTTGAACAAAAAATAAAATCCATTCCGTTGCATTCCTTAGTTAGTTCCGTTAGTATTCCTCGTACTGGGCCCACTGCCCTGGTGCTCTGAACCAACCTGTAAAATACATGTGGTTACAATTGTGTTTCCTGGCTTCCACATCTGAACACAGCCCTTTAAAGCCCCTGATATTAATGAACTTTTATGACCAGATGTTAACCTGGTTAACAATCAACAAAACTTCTAATCTCTCAGTTTCAGCTGTAAAACAGTCAGCAGTCTTACCTCTGCAGAGTCAGAATGCTGCCCAGGTTTCTGTACAGAACGATGCCGGTTACAAACGTCGAGGACTCGTCTGCTTCTGTCAGGAAAGAAACACACACATGCACAGAGCAGGGAGGTCAAAGTCAAATAAGACAGGAGTGTTTAGCAGAGTGTTCAGAGAGACTGAATGGTTCAGTCTCTGTTAATACAGTGACCTGCTATAGAGGAGAATGCAGGTCAGCCATGCTGCCTCTGCTCCTCCAGCCCCCAAGAGCTCTTTACACTGGAGCTGGCCTACATGACTAGTCAGCTATAAACGCTGTCTCTTACGCTGCTTTACAGCCGTGCGCACACACACACACACACACACACACACACATAGATACATGCACGCACAACTGACACTGCAAATTTCCATAATCTCCACAGTGACAGATAGTAGCAGTACAGCCTGACACTGTCCTCACCCTGGAACAAAACAAACAAGGAAAAGAAATAATAAATTGATGGAATTTCACTTCAGCAGTGGAGGAGTAAAGAAACTGTGGCTTGGCTGAAAAGTCTTTGAGCGTTGACACAGAAGTGCTTGTCAAACTATGGCCCGACTGACTTAGGGGCAAAATAAGGAAAACTATCATATCATATCATGTCATATATAACCCCATCAAATCATCATGTGTTGTTTACTATTGCTATCATGGGTTCACTTTTATCACTATTTTAACAACTACTGTTTTCAAATTCTTCCTATATGGGCCCCTGGAACTAAATCGGATAAACTAAGGATGTTGGGTCTAGTATGTGAGAATCACTGTGTGCACGTAGAGACAGCATTAAAAAAAAAGAACACTTCATTTTCATATAGTTGCAATCCTTACAAATTTGTTTGGTGGTCACTGGTCCCACAGATAAAACACAAGGTTTGGGAACTAGAATTACTGCCTCTGCCAACCAGTCAAGTTGTAGTTTACATCTCTGTCTGTCCAGACTCCATAGCCATAACAGTTGACAATACGTCACATATGAATTTTTCTGCAAGGAGCTTCATATTCTATAATGTGTGTTATAACTCTTATCACAAATAAAAAAAAACAGGTAGCTTTCATGATACTGTCTACTCTTAAGTATTTTTTTTCTCTTTTCTTTCGGTGGTAGGTCTTCTTCGCTGGTGTGTTGTTGTAATTTGCTCTTCACAATCAAGCAATCATTGTCCCCCGCACTGCTTTCTCCTAAATGTTATCATCCCTCACACTGGCTGCCAATCAGGGCTTTTGGTTTGTCACACTTTTATAATTCCCATGTGCAAAAGGCGAAAAATAGGTTCTCAGTGAAGGTTTTTAAATCAAATTCAATTAAATTACATTTTTTAGCTGGAGTTTGCCTCTTTATTAGGAAATGGGTGCACACGAACTTTTTATGCCCAGTTAAATACTGCCATAATAATGTGTGGTTATCACAAAATCCCACAGCACATCTGGACTGGCAATATGGCACACCAGTGTGCAGTGGCACGCCATTGGAGAACCACTGATCCACCACCACTGACTCTAATCTTGAGTGTCCAACTTGAAAATGTGCTGATTGTATAAATCAGCACATTTTCCAATTCAGTATCTGATGAAATATCCTGTCAAAAATTTGTGCAAAATTTTTGTCAATATTAGCATAAGAATTCTTGAGTTATGGCCAAAGATGTGTTTTGTGAGGCCACAGTGACTATTGACTACCAAAATCTGATAATTTCCTCCTTGACTTCAAGTGGATGTTTATGCCAAATTTAAGGAAATTCCCTCAAGGCGTTCTTGAGATATCACATTTGTGAGAATGGTATGGACTGACAACTGGGAAACATGATGCCTATAGCCATGGCTGCCGCTGGTGTGGAGGCATAAAGGCAAACAAACAAATAAACAAAGGACTCTTTTCTCCCAGATGAAAGCCTGATGCACGACACATCGCTGCATGGCCACAAGGGTCCCCATTGTTAATTTCATCATCTGCCATCATCTGCTCATGTATGACTGAGCAGAACATATGTTTGGAGTGTAAGCATGGAGCATACACGCTGACAAACATGGGTTAACACACATTTGTATGCAGACACCCAATGTAGTGGTACTAGTATAAGCCTCCATTGTTTGCATGTGTTTTTGCAGTGTATCCAGGTTTTTTTCTCTATCTCTCAATAAAAAGTGTGCTTGTGCCAATGCACAAAACTGCATTGGCAGCAATATGAATGTAATTCCTATGTCGCTAGGCTAGAATCTCACATGTATCAACTGCTAGGGGCAGCAAACAGCTTGAGTGCCTACTCTGTCAGAAATGCAGCAGAGGGGCAACTTGAGTGCTGGTTTACAGCGCAGCCAAACAAACTGTGGCCAGAGAGGCCTCATAATGTCATGTTTGTTTTAATAAAGACCAAAGAGGACAGTCAACATGTCATGCCACATGGTAGCACTGAACTGGTAATCAAACTTCCCTGACAACTGTTGTCTTCTGCATCACATCCAACACATGCATGCATCTTTTCCTGTGAACCCCTTGAACAAGGATACACCATTTAAATCCTTTGAGGAAAACTTGACCGCTAACAACAAAAATGACTGCAGAGTGAGGCAATTACAGAATGCAAACACAATGAATGGTTAAATCTATCATCTAATCTAATCATCTGTTAGCTGATATTGATCTATGCATCTCTACATGTGGCTGCAGCTCTCTGTGGGTGAGCTCCCCCTGCTGCAATTAAGGGACAACTGAGTAGTGCCAGCATCGGAAGAAATTTGTCAAAACTTGACTGCTGGACTACATGAAGGCACATACAGCCCCGGGGCGAGGAGAAGCCTTCTCTTTCCGGCTGCAGTGTCAAAGGCGAAAAAAACACAACTCCATCTGCCGGGCCATCTGAAGACATCCAGCTCTTCTGCTCCAGCACACTACATGGGGAGCCCGAGAGCACGGAGCAGTGTGCCAGGCAGCAGGCAGAGGCTGTAGCTCCCAGGCAACAGCTGAGCTCCCATGGGCATCAGGGGGGAACCAAGCAAGATGTGTGTGTGCATGTATGTGTGTGCGTGTGTGTGGTTGTGTATGTGCGTGTGTGGAGGATGAAGTATTATGTGTCCTGCTCATCCACTCTTTGGCTGGCCCTTCCAATATGCTCAGCCAGATTGTCTGTGCCCAACAAGAGCAAGCCTGGAGGGACTTTAACCAGTGATTCAATAAGTTATGTGTCTGTGTGTGAGAACTCAAACAGTTCATAGCCAAGTTATCTGTCCATTATACATTTGTTTGGATGGTACTGAATCTTTGTTTGCACATGTGTGAATACGCACATGCATGTGCATAAGCTTCTTCACTCAAGTGCCTTCACATATGTTATAAGCAGCTAAATTTCATGACACAAGCATAAAAGACATTTTATGGCTCAGTCTAATTCCTGCTTCAACACACTTCATTTTGCAAGGAGGATTTGCCAGACTGGAGGCTCTTCCCAACCAGTTAGTGGTGAGAGGAAGTGGACTAGAAAACCTTCTAAAAGCGAGTGTGCACTTGTGCTTACCTAATATACTCCATTACTTCCTAACAGTAACACACATGCCAAGAACGGAGCAAACATCATACAAATTTAACTCGTGTCTTGGTCCTCTGTCAGATATTATTTCGATCACGCACTTTTGCAATGTTTTGCTCACCCTGCCTCTTAATGCAGGCTTTAAACAACAACAGAATGTGCAGTGAGGTTAGAGCTAAAAATAAGGATAAGAATTTCACTTTGTCTCTAAATTATTTGACTTGTATCATTACATATGCATGCAAATAATGCTTATTTTATTATAGTCTTTGTTATGTACTTGCAGGGGAAACACATAAGGTTACAGAGCATCTGGGGAAGCAGAGTGTCTGCTGGCTTCTTGTTTATTGTGGGGCATGCAAGCAGGAGAATGTCCCACAGATTAACTGTTACCCCCTTATAGGTTCCCCATGGAGCTTTTGACCTTTTGTAGCACCATGAAGCTACTTGTCTGTGAGTAGATCTGTGATTCACAGTCCAACCAGTGGTCTCTCGCTATTTCACTGATCAACAGGTGGGGGTAATATGCCACGATATGATGCAACGCACCAACAAAGGCAGTAAAACTGAAGCCTGCTAACAATTAAACATGGATGCGAACAATGTTGGATTTGACGAAACAGTTGCCCTTTTTGATACGGGGCCAATCACCATGACTGTGTAACAGCACCCAGCGACAACATGGTGAAACACAGTAGGCCCGTTTCCACTGAAGAAGTTCCTGGTACTATTTGGGGGGCAGGAACTACTACAGGAATGTCCTCTCGCTCGGCCCTCTCAACCGCCGTGTCTCCACTGAGAGAGCGGAGTACGAGGAAGGTTCCTGTAAAGTTACGGGCTCTGGATGTGACGTAATCGCTGCGCGACCATTTACCGGGGAGATGTAGGGACGCCGTTAGCTGTTAGCCCTTAGCGGTGTCTGTAATAACTCACTAAATGGCCTGTGAAAAAAAAAAAAAAATCCACCGGATGTCTTAGTTACAACATGATTGAGCTAACTGGAGTAGTTTCATGTCGTATCCGACAACGGGAGGCTTTTAACAGATGACGTCCTGATGTTAGTTTTGCTGCTGCTGTTAGCTGTCCCTGTCAGCTGATGCTTTCTAGACATCGTGATTTCCCAAAACTGAATAAATACCACACATATAAACACAAAACTGCTTTGCTAGCTCAATCATGTTGTAACTAAGATATCCGCTGGAAAGAATATTTTTTTCACGGGCCATTTAGTGAGTTTTTTTTACATGGCGGAGGAAGCTATATGAACGAGCTAACCCTCGTCTGCTGAGTTTTAAAAATGTCGGCTGTTTTGTTGCTTTCTGTTGACATCACATCCCTCCTTGAGTATATCCAATCAGCACCAAGTAAATCCCAAGCCCCAGTCTGGAGTCTTTCGGGGCCGTTCTGAGTACCTACTCCGAGGCAGGGACTTGTTTAGCCCCCGTAAAAGTTCCAGAACTCTGTCCTTCGGGGGTGGTTCCTGCGGTGGAGACACGCACCAACGGCCCCGGCCCCGTAAAATTACC